CCACCAGGCTAACCCATCCTCCCACCCCCCTCCCGTCTAGAACCCTGTTTGTTTTTCAGAGTCCATCGTCTCTCAAACACATCTTACTCTTTCTTGAATCAGCCTGAGCAAGTTGCTGTCTTCAAATTTGGGCCTTCCCCCCCACCATTCTCTGCACAGTTTACTCTTTGAAATTCAAGTGCACAGGTAAGTCAGTTTATAAAACAAAAGTAGAAGGTATACTTCTGAGAATTTTTTCTAACTTATAAAAGTGAACCAATTTTAAATTGTACTATAGCAAAATTATACACAGATAAATTTCAACTATATGAGTTCATTTAAGAATGAAACAGATAAAATATAAGACTGAGTATGAAAAGTTGCTTCTCATCACAGGTGTGCACTATGTTACCTTACATACTCATTCTGCCTGTGGGGTCTGTGAATTTAAACAATTCCTTTCAGATATCTATTGACATTTATGTTTTAAGGTCTTATTTATTTATTTGACAGAGAGCACACATACAAGGAGGGGGGAGTGGCAGGCAGAGACAGAGGGAGAAGCAGGCTCCCCGTTGAGCAGGGAGCAGGTACTTGGGGCTCGTTCTAGGACCCTGGGAACGAGACCTGAGCCAAAGGCAGACACTCAACCGACTCAGCCACCCAGGTGTCCCAACATATTTTTTAATTAAAAAGGTAATATATGCTGGTAATAAAAGTAAACCACAGGGAAGTATAATAGTTTGTGTTTCCACCCATCCACCCAACAAATAATTTTGTGCACCTCTGAACTGTTTTTACTTGCAATACTTCTGAAACCAAATGTGTGGTGTCCTTTCCAACACCACTTCTCCAAACCTCCAACACAGACTGGGTGTCCTACAAATCCATTCGGTTTTGACACTACCTAGCTGGAATTAATGTCAGATTGCACAAAACTGTCCCCACTTCAGATGCCTGAAGCTACCCATGGCCTCAGCCACCTGTCACCTCACTGGCATATAGACACTCTTATCACTCCAGAGCCTGCAAGGATTTTAGGAGCTACGTGCCAGGAACCGGGGGAAAAAGACTCTGTGTCAGGTGCTAGGAATATAGTTGTGAATGAGAGACAAGTGCCCACAATGAAGGCATTCACAGGACATTCTAGCTGAGGCAGTGGTGGCCATGGGGGGCGGGGAAGGGGAGTAAGCAGTGACAAAATAGAAAAAGTGAACCAGATAATCTTAGGTGTCATGAAATGCTAAACACCTACTAAAACAGAAAAAACGGACAGACAAGAGATGTGGGGTAAGGAGTGATGGCTTCTCAAGGGGTTCAGGGAGGGTCTCTCTGTGGAGATAAAACATGATGAGGAAATACTTATGAGAAGACATAAGTCATGGGAGAAAGCTCCCTGTGGAAGGAAGCAAGCAGAGGCCTAGGGTGAGATCAGATTGGCAAAGGGAGGAAGAGATAGGGAGGGAAGAGACAGGGAGGGGGCAGGGAAGAGGGAGGGAGGGGGAAGGGGGGAAGGAGGTGAGAGGGAGGGAGGAGGGAGGGGGGAGGAGCCAGGCACAGGAGGCAGCAGAAGCAAGTGCCAGCCGACACGTTTTTAATAAGCTTTGTGAAAAAGATCACACAACTTTGTTAAGAATGTAATCTATTGCCTACAATTTGTATATTCAGGAATTTTCCTAACTTCCTACTTCAACTCAAGCTCATTACCTAGTTTTAGAGTCCTCAGAGGAAAATAAAAACAGCTGGGTTGCTCTTATATCATAGTTTTTATTGTTAAAAATAGCCATGAGGGGGCGCCTGGGTGGCTCAGTCATTAAGAGCCTTCGGCTCAGGCAGGTCATGATCCCAGGGTCCTGGGATCGAGCCCCGCATCAGGCTCCCTGATCGGCAGGGAAGCCTGCTTCTCCCTCTCCCACTCCCCCTGCTTGTGTTCCCTCTCTCGCTGTGTGTCTCTGTCAAATAAATAAAATCTTTAAAAAAAAAAATAGCCATGAGGATCTCTTTCTGCATCTATATTTTTATGATATTAACACAACTCTTTTAGCATTTCTTCACTGATTTTTTCAGGTTAAAAAAATTTTAATTCTCCAAATGATTTGTTTTTTTCTTTTTTAAAGATTTTATTTATTTATTTGACAGAGAGAGACAGCGAGAGAGGGAACACAAGCAGGGGGAGTAGGAGAGGGAAAAGCAGGCCTCCCGCCAAGCAGGGAGCCCGATGTGGGGCTCGATCCCAGGACCCTGGGACCATGACCTGAGCCAAAGGCAGACGCTTAACGACTGAGCCACCCAGGCGCCCCTCCAAATGATTTGTAAATCAGATATCCCTAAAATGAGGCCAGATGCTCACTTAGGGCAAACCTTGGGCTGGGGTGTGTGTCCTCAGGTCAGGACACAGACACTCGTAAGGGCAGAGGCTGCTGATTACCCATGTCATAGGGGTCTACTCTGCAACCAAGATCCTGTGTTACCAGATTTGGATAAGAATACCCTTTCTCGGGGTGCCTGGGTGGCTCAGTTGGTTAAGCGACTGCCGTCGGCTCAGGTCATGATCCTGGAGTCCCGAGATCGAGTCCCGCATCGGGTTCCCTGCTCAGCAGGGAGTCTGCTTCTCATGCTCTCTGTCTCTCATTCTCTCTCAAATAAAATCTTTAAAAAAAAAAAAAAAAAAAAACCTTTCTCTTCCTTTATGTTTTCACTTCTTTTCTATATGAAAGAGCAGACGTTTATTTCTACTGACCTAATTTTGTTTTTATTTCTTTATTTTGGACTCTAATTTCATAATTTAAAATGTAAAAGTGAAATGCTATACTCCAAATACTTTAAGTCTTACTTAAAACTATAATTGAAATTGTAAGCTACAGGTTTCAAACATTATTCCTGAAAAACTCTCAAGCTACTGAAAAAAGTGCTTTTGAGAATGTAAAGATTAGGCAGTAAGTTGGCTATTATGTGTTTAGAAAGGTCAATGAGAAGATTAGGCAATATTTCCATCTGTGACCATAAAATCTGCATTAAATGCAAACACCTACTCTGAGCCCGGCAATGACAGCTGAATTTCTACCACAATTCATGTTTAAGGTTTCCCTACAATATTAAGGTTTCATTATCAGTTACCTTTCGAGGGCTGTTAATTTATGCCGTTGGAGATGTCAGGTTTGTTACAGGAAGTAAATCTGCTACAATTTTCTTGGGAGAGTTGTGTGTTCACTAAACCACGTGGACAAACAGAAAACATGCCCTCAGTTATTTCCCCTAGGAATTCTGCCATGTCCTTGCTGACAGGGGATGGACCATCTTTGATAGTCTTGGTTGGGTTCCTCAATCTCATCAATGTTATCATCAGATTATAAGATACTTTCTGTGGGACAATCAGTTCCCTACTCATCTTGAACATCTAGATTTGGTCTTCACAGCAAATGTGCTCAAGGAATGTGACCTGCCCCACACCTTTATCAAGATAAGGTTTTCAACAATGTCTTTAAATTTAAAGAGAGACATTTCTGGTTCTCCTCCTGGCACTTCTTGAATATGACCCCCATCTGAGATTAGGTGCCACCATGTGGCTTGCTCTGGCCAGTGCAATGTGGGCAGAAGGGCTGTGTCTCTTCCATGTGGTTTAAGAACCAGCATGCAGGGCGCCTGGGTGGCTCAGTCGTTAAGCGTCTGCCTTAGGCTCAGGTCATGATCTCAGGGTCCTGGGATCGAGCCCCACATCGGGCTCCCTGCTCAGCGGGGAGCCTGCTTCTCCCTCTCCCACTCCCCCTGCTTGTGTTCCCTCTCTCGCTGTGTCTCTGTCAAATAAATAAAAAAAATCTTAAAAAAAAAAAAAAAAAGAACCAGCATGCAATCTTCTGTATCACACATTCCCCTCCCCATCATAAGGAATGAGGAAGCAAATGCCAAGGTGAAGCCTCCATCAATGGGTCACTGGATGGCAATGGTGAGCAGCGTACAATGGCCATGGAATACCAACAACAGACTCTAGTTATGTGAACTGGTGAGGTGTGAGGCTATCTGTTACTGTAGCAAACCCAGCCAGGCCTGATGGATACACACAGTAGTGTGTTTTTATAGGAATTTTGTTAAGAAATTGTTCCCTCCAGCTAGTGAGCCCCATGTGACCACCTATAAGGAAAAACTGATTTAGAAGTAAAGGCCTAGAAAAAGCTTTGCCTCCCTTGAAGAAATGCAATGTTTTCTCCACATGGATAATGAAACTATGTTTCTGATCAAGCATATCAGAAACTAATGTATGATGAATAAAGATGTGGTATGTATACACAATAGAATATTACGCAGCCATCAAAAAGAACGAAATCTTGCCATCTGCAACAACGTGGATGGAACTAGAGGGTATTATGCTAAGTGAAATAAGTCAATCAGAGAAAAGCAATTATCATATGATCTCACCGATATGTGGAATTTAAGAAACAAAACAGAGGATCATAGGGGAAGGGAGGGAAAAATAAAATAAAGATGAAATCAGAGAGGGAGACAAACCATAAGAGACTCTTAATCATAGGAAACAAACCCAGAGCGGCTGGGGGGGGTGGGGGATGGGGTGGCTGGGTGATGGGCATTAAGGAGGACACGTGATGCAATGAGCATTGGGTATTACGTAGACTGACGAGTCACTGAACGTTACCTCTGAAACTAATAATTTACTATATGTTAATTAATTCAATTTAAATTAAAAATATACATACATATAAAGAAACTAATCTATGGCTCAATTATGGCGGCTCTGACCTCTTCCCCATCCTCTCCCTTTCTACTCTATCTTCCTCCAAATCCTGATCTTTTTTTTTTTTTATGATACCATTTCAATTAATCTCTAAAAGAACTTCAAAGCCTTCGTGGAATGAGGGAAGATACATATGAGGTTGAAATCTAGGTTTGATAAGGTCATCCGAACAGATACTAACAAGGAAGGACTGACTCACACTGGAGCACCCTATTTTACACGGGGAAGAACTCCTTCTGTGCATTAACCCACCCTTCTAAATGAATACATCAGTCAAAGGAGAAACTGGGCAAGAGATTTAGAAACCACTGCTGCTACTGTAAAAAAAAAAAAAAAAAAAATGGTAAAACCCAGGAGTTCCAGGAGTGAGCCTTCATCTAGAAAGGCCAGTATACACCAAGCCACTGGTTTCTAAATGTGTACATTTTAGTCAGGGAGTCTTTTCTCTAAAGGAAAATGTAAGCAGAAGCCCAATCTGTGACAAGTAGTGTGGGGTTCCTCTGGGTGAAGTGCTGCCATCACACCCAGGAGGCTGGGCCCCCTCCCCCACAGTATGCCCAAGGAACCCCCAGGGATCAGGGAACACAGTTTGAGAACCCCTGCTGCACTGCAGAGAAAGGGAACCATAATAACAAAAGACTAGGCTAACTAAAAATGTCCTTACAAGTTGGAAGAGCTAAATACGTAAAAGGCACGACTATAGCAGAACTAGCTTTGGAAAAAAGACATGAACTGTCTCCTCAAAATTACCTTAATCCTTACTTCTCTCTCAGCAGCTCTCTTCTGTCTGTCTGCCTCTTTCCTCTTACACCTCTCCTCTTCTCTCTTCTTTCTCTTTTCTTCTTCCCGTAAACGCTTCTTCTCCAGCTCCCTCCTCCTTCGCTCTTCTCGCTTCTCTTCTCGAATCCTCTAGGGACATGGAAAAGCATGTGTATAAATTATCTGTGTGGATGTGGGAGGGACAGGAAGGATACTCATCAGGTAAAAGGGCAAACCTACCTGCTTCTCTAATTTTCTATTTCTAATATATTCCAAAAGAGGTGTGGTTCTTCTAGCTAAAACACAAAAATTGTAATGTAGTATTTAACTCTAAAATAAGATTTCTTTCCTTCATTTCAAATACTTGTTTCCAATTTAATCTTAAATAATTTGGCTGGCACAGTCGGAAGAGCATGCAACTCTTGATCTTGGGGTTGTAAATTCAAGCCCCACGCTGGGTGTAGAGATTACTTAAAAATAAAATCTTACAAATAAATAAATACACAAAACTTAGATGAGCATACATTGTATTTGGGGGAGTTCCTATTCCATCACTATAAAGTAATTTGGAGGCACTGACAACTCTACAAATAGTAGGCAATGAATTCCTGATTCTCAAGGGAGTCTTCATATTACAAAGCAGCTATAAAAGCAAAAAAGAAAAGTGAGTACGACGCATTAGACTTCCCGAACGTTATGAGTATCTTCCCATTTTTGCAGATATTTTAAAACATTACGTAACACTGTTATAGATTCACTTTGATTCAACACATATTCTGGAAATTTCTTCCTTTTCTGCTCTCTAGACAATGATGTTAAACAATGTAGATTCTTGTAATTTCTTATCATATACACTCCACAAACCAGAATAACCTGATGTAAAAGTTTAGACAATGACCCCACAGGGCACTTCATCTAAGCAGCACTAACCACCCAGGAATGAACCTCTCTGTAAACTTAAACTCAATCCTCAGCTTTCATGCCCCAGAAGTGTCTGATCTGACCTGGAATTTGGTGCCCAAATATGGCAGGCCTCAAGGCAGCCTCTCAGGGGGACTGGTTCTAAGAAATATGTATTCCCCATGTCAGTGGCTGACGATGCAGGGGGGAAAGTGGAAGATGGTGTGGATCTATTCCACAGCTCTTTCAAAACCTAAGATTAAATGGGGGGAAGGAAGAATCCCTGGATGCACTTGAAGACTGGCCATGACATTTCCCGAATTCTGAGAATCAGGAATTTTAGAAGAGAGCCCCTGGCAGGGATTCTTAATTTGGAATTAAGGACTCCTGAACACCCCGACATAATGTGTCAAATGGCTTCTGCCAGGAAAGCTCAGCCCCAGATTTAGGGCTGGGCAAATGTGCCCATTTCCTCACAGGTGCAGGGGCCAAGAAGAGCCCATTCCCTCCCTGGGTGGCTCCTATGTTAATCATGAACTCTGGCTCAGGATGAGCACAGCTGATGCCCTCTGTAACAGGCAGCTGCCTCAAATTAGGGAGGACTCTTGCTCTGCACCGTGGGAGTTTTGCACTAGTGAGCAAAGAGCAGGATCAAGACCTCCCTGGGTGGGTGGAGGAGCTGACAAGACCCCACCCACCTTCTCTCTTCTCCAACAAAATACCTGCCTCGTTACCCCAAAGGATCAATGTGAAAGGTAAATGAGACCCTGTATTAGAAAGTGCTTTACAGGGACGCCTGGGTGGCTCAGTCGGTTAAGTGGCTGCCTTCGGCCCGGGTCATGATCCCAGGGTCCTGGGATCGAGTCCCACATCGGGCTCCTCGCTCAGCAGGGAGCCTGCTTCTCCCTCTCTCTCCCTCTGCTTGTGCTCTCTCTCTCTCAAATAAATAAAATCTTTAAAAAAAAAAAAAAAAAGAAAGAAAGTACTTTACAAACCATAAAAGTGTATCATTTGTTAAACAGAAGGTGCATGGCCATGTAATGTAACACGAATTTCACCAACAGCCTGTTACCACTTACAGACAGCTGCTGCATCCTGGGCACTGTCACAACCACCTGGGAGGAAACAGGGATGCTAAGTCTCAGGGGTGGAAGCTGAGCCCAGGTCTGTCTGCTCTACAGACCCTGCTATGCCACTGCACTAACCTGCAACTATAGAGGGAATTAATATTTCCATTTAACCCTCATTGCTCAGACTAGATCACAGAATCCACTAAAGGCCAAAATCTAAGAAAAGAAAAAGGCAACTTGCTTCGAGTTGCCGGATTAAGATCCAAACTTAGATGGGCAGAAACTGGATCACAGAAACAAAGCTCCACAGCCTCATCCTGGGCTACTAGACTGTGAATCACACTTACTCATTCCATAAAACACTACAATGCACCTACTGTGCACCAGACCGGGCAAGGGGCTGGGATGGGAGAGGATGTCCCTCTGGTGTGGGAGGGTGGCTGGAGCCAGCTGGATGGTGTGTGTCTGGCCACCAAGGACTATCTCAAAACTGCCCACAAGTGGAAGACCCTGGTCCTTTTCTGTGGCTATCCAGTACAAGAGCATTTACAGCAAAGAGGGAAGGGGGCAGGGGGCAAGTCCTACAAATAATTTCTAATTTGCTTCCTTTTTTAGCTCTTCTTAAATTTAACATGTTCTACAGTGGATCTCAATTCGCTTCCAGTAATGTTTCTTCCCCAGTCTGCCCCACGTCAGTAATGGTGCCTCCACTCATTGATCTGTTTGAGTCAAACTCCTGGAGGCCTGGATTCTTTTTGTTTCCTTTCTTCCCACACCCAATCTGCCAGAGCATATGCAGACTCTGCAGCTAGCAATCCATCGTGTACAGAGCAATGTGCATGGAGTGATGAGGAAAACTAATCAGGCCACATCACTCCCTCAGCGGTCTCCAGCTTTCTCTCGAACAAACTCCAAACCTCTTACCCACCTGCCTCTCCAGCCACTCTGCCCCGGGCCCACCATGTACCAACCACACAGGCATACATCCTGTTCCTACAGGCCCACAGCTCAGCTTCCAGCTCTTGTCTCTAGTCCCTTCTTCTTCCATGTCTTAGCACGCCTGCTCTCAGAGGGCCTTGCCCTCCCAGGACTGTTTCATCATACTGTGCCACTGATCACACAGACATGCCCTGGCTTAAAGCCTGATTATTGTTGCAGGTGTTTACTACAGTCTTCCCCACGAGCAGGACAGATACATGACAGCAGAGGCCTCACGTGTCCCATTCATGTTCACTCCACACACCTAGGCTGAGTCGGTACCCACTCAACGTGTGCAGATCAAAAACGAGCACATGCTTGCTAAGCACATCTTTATAAATATTTACTGTAGTGATTAAAAAATCCTCTGAGCTACACATTAAATCAGCTACTGTGAACAAATAACTGTAACCAAAAGCTCTGGTGCTCTCCCTCAGAAATATTTTCCCAGGTTGCCATATTTTTGTTACAACTGCAAAACCCTCTACATCCCTGCTAAGCCTGTCACAAGTGTGAATTTTTAAATAATCGTAAAAGAGAAACAAATACATATCTCAATCAAGTAAAGAGAAGAAATAAGCAAACAGACCAATAAGTTCTCTTGTCTTTGCCTCTATGTCTCCCAGAAGAGTTTCGGGATTGGCATTAGGTTTCTCTTCCTCCACACAGTAAGTTTCCAAAAACTTCTTATATTCTGGATCTGTAAATTAAAAAAGAAAAAAAGAAAAACATGCTCCTCCCCACATATGGGAGAGGAATTATATTTGATCGGTGTATTTAATTTGGCAGTTTCATAATCTAGCCTCTGTAAAGGGACTCACCGTCTTCAATGCTTCCAGTTTTGGCATCTTTTTTCTTTAGTTTCTTTTTGGCTATCTTCTGGAATGGGGCAAACTCTACCACTGCAGGATATTCTAGGCCTTTAACAGAAAACAAATTGCAAAAACCATTCTAAAATTCCACTATATTCATTTTGGAAAATAATGATTTAGCTTTCTTTTTTCTTTCTCTTTGTAGGGGGAGAGGCAGAGGGAGAGGGAGAGAGAGTCTTAAGCAAGCTCCACACCCAGCAGAGCCCCAGCGGGGATCAATCCCGTGACCCTGAGATCACGACCTGAGCCAAAATCAAGAGTGAGTTGCTCAACCGACTGAGGTGCCCCATGATCTAGGTTTCTTAAAGACTGACCATAACATTACCGTTTAAACTATTATTTTCAAGCACCTGCAAACTTAGCATGTCAAACTCCAGATCTGAACAAAGGACGAGCACTTAAAGAAAATGATTTCTCATGTTGCAGTAGTGGCTACATAACTGAATGCATTCAAAATCCATCAAGATGCACACCTTAAAATGTCAATAAACCCTTCTCTCCCTCACTGAAGAGTTTATCATGGAATACCTTTAAATAGGTTCCTTAGTCACATTTTTTTTTTTTTTTTTAATTTTAAAAGGTTGTTTCAATGATCAATCTGTTATATGAGTTGAAGGGAATTAGTATGCTTAGAAGAGACACTTGGCTAAAAGAGGGGCCTCAGAAGGCATGCACAATACTCAGACAGGGTTGGCTTCAAACAGAAAAGTTTAGAACAAAAGCCACAAGAAACTGATTCAGTCATTATGTGCGGGGTGGGGGGGGTTGGGAGTGGGGGGCAGGAACATACTGAGAAACGTTCACTATTTACTTAATCAACTGATGGAACGCTTCCATGTTGGTACTGAATCCTTTAGCCTTGTCAGGAATGGTCAGGTGACCATTCTTTATCTGCAACTGTTATTTATCTGGACAGTATTTCTGTGCTAACTTTAACTATCTGGAATAAAGTCAAGAACCAGAAGAAGAGCAGGGCTTTGGACAGGCAGGAACAATGTCTGATTCACTGCTGCACCCACATGCCTGGTACATAGATACTTACTAAGTAGGAGTTGACACACTTCCTGATTTCAAAACTTCTTATGAAGCGATGGTAATCAAAACAGTATGGTACTGGCATAAAAAAAGAAACACAGACCGATGGACTAGAACAGAGAGCCAGAAATAAACCATCACATACATGATCAGATGGTTTTCCATGAGGGTGCCAAGACTTTTCAATGGGGAAAGGACAGTCTTCTTGAACAAATACTGCTAGGGGTGCCTGGGTGGCTCAGTTGGTTAAGTGTCGGCCTTCAGCTCAGGTCATGATCCCAGAGTCCAGGGATCGGGCCCTGCA